TTCTAATTTTTAATTTGTAGTTATAGGTTGATTATTGTTGTAATATTTTTTGTACAATACTTAGTTTAATTTTTGGCAATATCTGTACCAAGACCATGTCTTACATTTTCTTTGATACACTGAAGATATGACGATTGTTATAGAATTAATTGTTATTACAGTTTATTAGAATTTTTTATAATTTAAAACATGCTAAATTCAATTTTATTTATTTATTTATTTATTTAGAGCTTTACATTAGATATTTTAACAAAGTTTAAGATTTTTTGTTCTTGTGCAATTACTGAACACATACAATATAATTCATTTATATTAAAAACCTAAATATCAAGGTATAGTTAAATTGTTAAAAACTTTAATTTATTGTATATTTAAAAATAAATAATAATAATAATTTATTTAAATTAGAGTTAATGATTCTTAATATACAAATCTTGCAAAAAGATAATACAATAATAAAAATAACTATTTGTTATAAAAAATTTATGAATATGAAACTAATAAAAGTTTTATTATATAATAAAAAACTATAGTAATTAACAAAATGAATATACATTTTGATCATTTTTCATCTTTATATTATTTTCATAATGCCAAATATAAATAAAACCTAAGACTTTTAACTGTTCTATCTGGCCCTTAATCTAAAAAATATAATAATATTAGATAACCTAGTCTAAAAAATATAAATCAAAATCGATAGTAACGCATTTCTTCAATAATAATATTTCAAGATTAAATAATCTGTTTAAATCACTACTCTTGACGAATTTCAAATAAACACTAAAATGACTTTTTTTCATCATTATTGTGCTTTTACTATATATAGCAGAACCCAAGCCCAATTTTCTATTCGAATCTCAACTTTTAGCAGATTTTAAATGCCTTTTTTTTTATCTTTAATTGTATCTATATGACTTTAATAGCAGAACTCAAATTAGTTTTTCATTGAATTGTCACCAACAGATTGCAATACCACTCAAATGCCCTAAATCATTTTTATAAAAAAATAATATAAGTATGATTTATTCTCTAACAAATTTCAAATTTCACTTAAGTTTTTTTTATTATTTGTGCCTTATCCTCATCATAGAATATTTCAAGATTAAATAGCAACATGTGAAGTTAGAAATACAAATGTGGAGAAGAAATATTTGCAATACTAGGAGTACTTAATTGTCTAAAAAGAAATAAGAAGTGAAAAGATACTAGCAAAACTGAAATCAAATTAAACGATAAATCCCACCAACCAATAATGGTGACATTCACTATAATAGAAACACAGATTAGACAATGTACTTAATTGCCTAATAGAAGTTGTATACATGAAGCTAGAAGCAAAATAAGAGAAATCGAATAACAAAATCCAATTCACCATAATGGCAATGCCTACACATAGTGGTGAAGCTAACACCAATGAGAACTAAATGGCATGCTAAATTACAAAAAAAGAAAAGCAGAAAGGTTAGATATGCAGAAGTTAGAAGTGAATAAGTGAATCAAATGTAAAATCCATATACCAATAACGTCAACATCCACCCATACCAGTGATATGGCATAAAACTGAACATCAATGAGAACTAAATTACTGAGAAAGTAAAGTGAGAGGTTGGGTGTTTAGCACTGGCAACACCAGAAGCAATGCAAATGATAAAATCTACCTCAGTTAACACAAAATCATTACTTTTAGTGAATTTTAAATAATATCAAAATGCCTTTTTTCATTATTATTGTGCTTATACTATATATAGTGAAACCCAATCCTGATTTTCATTCGAATCTCTATTTTTAGCAGATTTCAAATGCCTTTTTTTTATTTTTAATTGTATCTATACGATTTTAATAGCAGAACTCAAATTAGTTTTTCATTGAATTGTTACCAACAGATTGCAATACTACTTAAATGCCCTAGACTGTTTTCATAAAAGAATAATATAAGTATGATTTATCCTCTCTAACAAATTTCAAATTTCAAAAATCTTTTTTTATTATTTGCACCTTACCTTCATCATAGAATATTCCAAGATTAAATGGTGATATGTGAAATTAGAAATACAAATACGGAAAAAAAATATCACAATGCCAGAAGTACTTAATTGCTTAGAAAGAAATAAAAAATAAAAAGATACTAGCGAAACCAAAATTAAATTGAATAATGAATCCAACCAACCAATAATAGTGACATTTACATAATAGAAACACAGATTAGACAACATACTTAATTGCCTAATAGAAGTTGTATACACAAAGCCAGAAGCAAAATAAGAGAAATCAAATAACAAAA